CAAAAGAAGCTATGAAATTATAATGTGATAATAAGTATGCAAGGGGAATAACAGATAATCTAGTACAACATGATAAAACAAAAAAAATGTGGAGGTTGATAGACACTTTGTCAAGCAGAATCTCGAAAAGAAGATTATGTCTATATACCATTTGTGAATTCAGAGAAGCAACTAATTGATGTTCTTACTCATGGAGTATCTAGTAGTCTTTCAGGACTTAATTATCAAGTTGGACATGCACGATATCTATGCACCAACTTAAAAGGGAGTGTTGACGTGAGGATTCTAGGAGTCCTATATTTGGTAGGATTAGGATTTCTAATTAATTGTTTTTTTTTTTTTTAATAATTAGTTGCCTTATGGAATAAGGCATTTGAGCCTATATATTGTAAGAAAAACTAATGAAAAGGGTTTCAAATCTTTACATTTTAATAAAAAACCATCCACTAACTTTATTTAATGATAAGGGTGTATACACTGAAAATTCTGGTAACGAATGAAATGAGAATACGTGTATAAAGTAGATTTGTATTGATTTAAATTTGTAGGTTACAATCTCTGTTTACAATTTTCCTCTGATTTAGTCTTCAAATTTGATGTAGATGCGTAGGTTGTTAATCCAAAGGTCGCGATGACTAGATCTTGGACGAACGATTGAACGATTGCTTCAAGTTTTGAGCTTGAAACAATGCGTGGATAGTCTTCACTAGGGCTGCGACAAAGGGAGTGTTGATGTAGAATTTTGTTGATTCAAGGGTCTTGGAGACTTGATCTTGAAATAAATGTTGTTACAAGTTTTGAGCTTGCAACAAAGTCTTGAAGGAATCGGCACGAGTGCTTGAAAGAAAGCTTCGGCTTTGGTTGTGCGTTTTTTGAAGAGAACTTTGGCAGCGTATTAGTCTTCAAAGATTTGTGCAGAGGTTCTTCTTTTGTGAGAATTTCGGCTCTTCAATGTAGAAATTGTCCACCTTATGCTTGTCTTGGGACCTTGTATTTATAGACTTCCAAAGCTTGCCATTGGATGGATTTGGCCTTGATTTGTGTCTTGATTCAGTCCATAGGAGAATTTAGCATGTTTTGTGTCTTAATTTTAGCCACTTTCCCCTATCTTGGCTGAAATTTATAGGCCTTGTTGCCTATTTGTGAGTAATCTTCAATTCTTGCTTGTTTTATGAAGATGCTTTAGCTTTATTTTTGGTTTTGAGAGATTTTGGGCACCTTTTCCATTTTAAGGAGGGATTTCCCCCTTTAGCCGAATTTTGGGGAAGTTTTACACTTCCTTTGCTTGATTTGTGCCACATATCATTGATGACTTGTCCATTTACGATGAGTTATATGCCACGTGGAAAGTTAAGAAAATTAAGTAATTGGTGTAGAAAGTTAAGAAATTGAAGAGATACAAAGAAAATTTGATGAGTATCGAAGAAAATTAAAAGAAGAAAATGTGTTTGGAAGGTGAGAATGTGCCAAGAAAATTCAAGAAGAGGAGAGAGAAGAATGTAGTACCATAAAGTTTCATAAACAGTGTAGTACTGTTAAGTTTCATAAACAGTGTAACACCGTTAAATTTCATGAACAGTGTAGTAGTGTTAAGTTTCATAAATAGTGTAGTAAGTTTCATAAATAGTGTTGTAATTTTTCATAAACAGTTTAGTAAGTTTTATAAACAGTGTAGTAAGTTTCATAAACAGTGTAATACCATTACGTTTCATAAACAGTGTAAAAAGTTTCAAAAACAGTTTGTGTGACAACATGTGGATCCGCGCATCAATTTTTTTTAAATTTCTTTTTAATATTAAAATTATGTCTTTTTCATTAAAATTTGAGTTTTTTTTTGTCGTTTTTATTAAAATTTAAGGGTTTTTCATTAAAATTTTGATCTTTTTAATTAAATAAAGTTAGAGCATGATTTTTTATTAAAATAAACTTAACCCAAACCCTTTCATGAAAGTTCCCGGGGTACCAAAATCTCATCCATGAGGCAGTGGATAAGTGACATGTTAATGTCTTGCTCGAAAAACTTGCTTGCAAATCTCAATGATTCTGAACATCAAAGTTGTGTGGATGGCATGAGCAGTTGGGGAAAAGATGGAAAATGTAAGTGTTTACGTCGTCCCTTATGCTTGAGCATGACGAGTAGTACTGACTATCATCACTGTCGTCATCAGATTGCTTCAACTTGAGTTTCTCAACACCAGACTTCAAATGCTCTACATAAGGATCCAAAACCCAGTCATGTAGCAACTTATAGCCCGAGTCAAGCTCGTAATGCTCAAGCACTGCAACTAGTGGCCAGTGGCGGATCCAGGATTTTAAATTCGGGGGGTCCCAATTATAAAGGTCAAAAAATTTATAGACAAAAATAACATTGAAAATTTAAATATAATACATTTCATTTAAAAAATCATATGCAAAACAATATTACAAATTATAAAATCATAATTCAAGCGTCCATTACGAGGTTTCATAAGTTACTAGGGAGTACCTAAGTTATTGATTATCTAATATGAACCACTAAATTTAAAGGGGTGTGCTATTCACACACCCCTTTTTGCGTCTCACATACCCTTTGTTTATTTCTGTCATTTGATTTTTTTTAATTCAGTCGATTCGACGGCCGCAAATTAAGAGGGTGTGTATGAAGTAAAAAGGGGTGTGTGGATAGCAAATTAAAACACCGGTCAAATAAAACTCTCCCCAAACTCCCACTATCTTTCTAACCAAACACACCATTTTTCTCTTTTACTAGTTTCCAAACATCCACCTTCTCTCTCACTAAGAACAAAGCTGTCATACCTCCACTAATCGCCTCCCTCCCCATTCTCCCGAAGCCATGGTAGCTCCACCACCAAATTTCACCAACCCATGACAGATCATATCCATCTTACTAACCTTATGAAGGAAACTTCACCCATAAGAAAAATTACTAAGATGGTTGAAATAATTTGGGAAAGTTTGGGCTTATGTACTGCCCCCATCAGACGACACAGAAAGGTTGGAGGAGAAGTGGGTGGCATCGATGAATGAGACTATGGCAGAAGCAAGGAGGAGAGAGGCAGGAAGGGTCCCTATTTCTTTCTTCTCCGTGCGCGGTCATCTTTTCCGAGAAGAAGACAGCCACTGCAACCTACACAGACCTCATGCTCGAGTACGAGAGGTCCTCGGAAAATTTATAGCAACGATTTAGGATTGCCGACGGGTCCTGGGACCTCCCTGGTCCCTATGTGGATCCGTCCTTGCTAGTGGCGGATCGAAGAAATAATATTAGGGGGGGTCAGTAAGAATAGCGTGCGCATTGCACAAATTTTTTTAAACAGAAATTGCATGCAAATCGCCATTTCATTGAGTCTTTGGTAGGCCTGAAGTTATTTGGAAGGCATACTGCAGACTTGTCAATGCCTCATTTGCGTGGGCAACTAACATGTTCCAAGGTTGCTCCCATATAAATGCTTAACAAGGAAACACACTTATCTTGAACACGCTAACAATGTTCGATATCATTGCGTCCCATTAATATGTTGTCCAAGAATGAAGATGCTTTTGTTATTCTCTGAGATCAACATTTCATTTACTTTGCATTTTTGGATATTTTTTTACTTGGTTCTTTTTTTTTTTGCCTACAATTGTAATCACAACCAACAAATAAGTCGGTGGTAAATAATATTAGGACTAGACTGTAAGGGCACCTCTCTAACACATGTTATCAAGCAGTTGAAGGGTATATATAAAGGGCAACTCTAACCTTCAAAGAAGCAACACTCAAGTCATCCATGGAGATACATTGGAGTTCGGAGGGCCAGTTGACCCCCCTTGCCCCTAAGTCAGTTTGCCCTTGACTGCAACCTTGTTGACCGCCACCCTCGCCACACTTTCTTGGCCTCGTGCAAGGACATGGTGGAGAAGTTGGGCCAAGTCATACAAGCAGCCGAACATGAGGCTGTAGGTGTGAGGTTGCACAATAGGGAGTTTGGGTGGTTGTGGTGGAGCCAAAAGGCTGCCGTCTAGAGCGGTTCTTCATAGAATTTCTCATTCGAATGATCAACTAGTCGAGGTGACAGATGAGCTTGAGGGTGGTTAGGGGATACAATTGCAAGGAATATGAGTTAAGTACTTTCTTTAAAAAAAAAAAAAAAAAAAAATTATTCAGGGCATGTTTACCTACAAGAAAATGGAAATTGAAATTATTTTGATTCTTGAGTTTTCTGCGTTCACAGGAATGAGAGTTAGTTCACTTCTACATTTTTTTTCTATATTTATTGACACGTAAGTAATTAGAAAAGTAAACATCAAATTCACTGAGATATCATTTGATGTGATGTGAGTCAAGAGATTTAATGGGCTTGCATACAAGTCCAATGTAAATATTTGGTAGGATTATGAGATCGCTTTTTGCGCGGGTGGCTCGTTCATCTCTATTTTCGTTCATCCAGCTTGTTCGTGGTTTCATGCTCTTGGTGGTGGTGGCGGTTCGACGATGGTGGCGCAACTGTTGTGATCGAGGCAGCAGTCTTCCATAGCTAGAGTTTTTGTTGTTGTGAAGTTGCTCTTTTTGGACCCCTATGCTATATTTCCTTTTGAAATATGCTTGTATTTGGACTGCCTTTGGACTTTGAAGTTCATGTAATAGTTTCTTTAATTAATGAAAGTTTCTTCGATAAAAAAAGAGAAGTCAAACCAGCTTAAATATTTCAAGAGTTTCTTTCGTGTACAATTTGTCAGAATTGAAATAAACACGTGATAGTACACATAAGCACAGTGTAGGTAATCACAGTTCGCAAAGCACTAAATGCTTTCTTTAAAAACGCTTTTGATTATTTGAAAGTGAATTTAGACTTAAACAGAGTCAGGCCATGAAGTCATCCTCCTTAATTGAAAGGATAGTGGTATTCACACATTTTTTTTTACCTCTTACATTTTTGTTGATTTTTGACCATTGACATTCTTCAATTCATTTGACTAGACGGTCAAAAATTAAAAGATGTGTGATAAGCACAAATAGGTGTATGAATAGCACTATCCAATTAAACGTTTTAAGAATTTGTCTATATCAAGGTTAAGGCATTGGGATGTTATCTATGTCATGTTTTTCATAGGAAAACTCACTACAAAATACAAATAAAACATTTTGTTTTAGATTGAATAAATACATTTACCAAAAAGAGGAAAGGAAAAGGAGTCCAGTCGTGCATTCCAAGCGACACAAAACCTGCACCAACAAGGTTGCGGGTCTACGGAAGGGTCTGCAACTCAACTGTCTTTCGAAACTATTATTTCTACACGTTCACTTCAAGAGATCGAAGCACTAAGTGCAATGTTCTTTGGCCTTCTACTGAGTAGGCAGTCTGCTTTTCTCTTCTTGGTTTCAACAAGCATCCTCTTGACATAGGAAATGTACCCATCGACATCGAATTTCCTTTTGCAGCCTGCATAGTTCATGTACCGTATTTTCCCAAAAATTGGTCGTTCCTTCCAACCCTGAAATGCCATATCAAAGGATGTGATAAGAGAACCTCACCGGAAATGCAAGCCATTCTAGTTTCAATGTGGTTTATATACTCTTGGAATGTAGGATCACATCTAACCTAATATTTCAATATTTGTATTACATCCAGATTTCTATGACGACTCTATTAGCACGGTGGTGTTGAATGATGGAAAATTCGAGATGAGATAAAGTTATACAGAAAGTGGAGGTGATCTGTGCCAACAAAATATTCATCTCACACGAAGGAACGAGAGAAAATTTTGAAACAAACCTGGTCGTGAACACCACAGATTGACCACATGCAACCGACGTATCCATTTGGATCCCTTCCATCTATTTCATACTGTCAGCCAAAGAACCACAGTGAAAATTTTGTAACCACCACCGCAACCGCAACCAAAATCAAAATTTACTAGTAGAATACCTTGTTATTTAGGTATATGGATATTTCAAGGGCTTCTTCAGGTCCTCTTGTCCACTCAAGGATCTTTTTTGCCCAATACATCCTGCAGATGATTATAAACTTATTTGGTGGATAACAAAATTAAATTTCACCTAAAAAGGAAATTCATAATATAAAACTAACAAATGTTGCTCTTGTTACAGAAACCCTAACCAACAATACCTCATTGCTAATTGAAACGATAAAATGAATAAGAAACCTATTAGCACGTAAAACCCTAGTTATCGTGTTGCCATTGTAATACAAGCAAACAAAGCAAGCATAAAGTGACACCATACTCGGCAAATAGCAGCACTACTTAAAAAGGACGAGATTCCTCAGTTTATAAATGGGACGAGGTAATCCAAATTTGTTTAAAAGATTAACCATATGAATTCAATGCTAATTTGCGGAGTTTCCAAATATCAGAAAGGTTTAAGAGCCCCAGGCAGAACAGGAAACCATTCAACCATGAACAGAATATGGTCGACCAAAAGGGGACTCACCGCATAAACCCATGCATCTTCCCATAATAAACCATCTCCAATTGGGAGGCATTCCAAAGCTGAAATTCAGGACCACAAGAACTAGGAGGTTAGTAGAGATTGATACGGCAGACGAGCCAAAGTTATACAACTGAGCTGACACACACAAATACATAATTTCATAAAGCATAGATCTTAGTTATATAAAGGTTGAAGCGAAGAGGAAGGAAAACATATGAAAGTTCAGATAATCCCAACATCCCACCTAAGAGAAAAATAAAAGAGCCTACAAAATCGACTTACAGGATCAGCTGTTTGTGCATTCTCCAATTGTTCCTTCCTGCAATTTCAACACTTTGTTTAGACATTCATAACCATAACTTCACAAACCCGTACTGACCAACAAAGGAAAACCGAATTACTGACGTGTAAATATGCTCTCTCTTATCAGAAGCATGGTCTGCCAACGTCTTGCGAGCCCATTCCCATGCCCCTTGTAATGAATCATAATGAGGCTGGTAGAAGCAGAAGTTATCGGCAAGTTCTCTGCGCACAATCAACTCCTCTAAAAATGCATCGACTGCCTTTAAATAGCATGTAGACACGGTTGATTAAACAATATACCACGTACAAGGCATAACAAAAGAAGTCCTTCAGCTTAAGTCAAAATAGTTACACCATAACCATAATTTCGCATCACTAACCTCAGGGCAGAGTTTCCGTCTGCTGCGTGCCTCTAAGGCACACCTCTGTGCAGATAATTGCCCAAAATGCAAATAAGGAGAAAGACCAGAAAGTCCTCCTGGTTTCAAAGGGTTATTTCGATCCGACGAATAACCCTTCAACCTTTTTGTCAAGAAACCATTTTTGCTGCCCATCAAAACTTCCATTGCCGCCTTTTCTCCCGATTCACACCAATCAATTTCAGGAACTTCTGCTCCTTTCCTAGTCATAAACGAAGGAAAAAAATCAACAACAAATCCCCAACAATCTCAACTAATGCCAACAAAATTAAAATGACATCTAACCTCAAAACTTCGTCAATAAGGCCATCCCAGTCAATCAACCGATTTACACCCACCCATTTTGTAAGCGGTGGCTGCAGCTTAGGAAATTCAACAAGGTACTCAGGAAGCTTTACATTTATCTTACTCCTTATAGTCCTAGCACTATACTCCAACTTCTACTGATGCTGCCCAAATTGGCACAACATTGTGGGCATCAACTTCATGTATCGTCACAAAATCACTAACTGCCTTGCAAATTTCCTGTTTACATTTCTGGACTTCCCGCAACGGCGAAAAGTCTGTTACTAAAAGTGAAGCCCCACATTCACCCACAAAATTGGGAATTGTCTCCTCAGCTTTTCCCTGTACGTAAAATGTGCTTCAAACATAAATAACTTCAATTTTTCCAACATAACATACAAACAAGTTGCAAAATTTGAGGGACACCGAAAATTTCCAAACTTAAGTTATGGATCGTCATGAGATTCTAGAAAGCTATAAAGAGGACAATATTTTCTGGGTAACATTGATTTACAAAATTTTCTCGGAAACCAAACACAAAACAGATTACAAACGCAGAAAAGATCAAGTAGGTATTTGGAAAATGTAATCTTTTAACGTACCCGGAAGAGGAAAAATGGAATTTGATGCGTTTCTTCAAGATCACTCTGCAATTGCTGCAAGCCCCTCAGCATAAACCCTAATTGGCGGGCTTTGGCGCCAAGAAACTGATCGAACAGATTGAACGCGACGGCCACGGGGACACTGGCCTTGCGGGCATGCTCAATGGCGTGGATCAACGCCCAATTGTCTCTAACCCTTTGGTCTCTGAACATCCAGTAAACCACGGGACCGGAAATTTGATCGGCCAGCTTGGAGCCTTCCTTCAGAATCCGAATCCGACACGGTTGAACTGTGGCGGTGGCGGAGTTGGCGGCCATGGATGAGTGGACGGTGAAGAGGAAGGGAAGAAGAGGTTGCTTGCTAACGTGCGCGGGATGTATACGGATCGGCTCAGGTTAAGAAGGCGAAGGAGGAGAATGTGAAGGTCACATGAGAGAGAGGGAAAAAAAGGAGGGAAACCAAACCGTTAGAGGTGTGGTTTTGAAAGCGGATACGTGGCCAAATAATAACCAATCATTTGTTGGCCCAAAGACAATCTTCAGCTTGGGCTTCGGCTTATTGTACCTGTTATTTAACGGTCAGATATGATATTTTTTCTGAGAGAGGATCCTTGCTGGATCCTCTTGGTAAGGAACCAATCATATTCGTTTATCTATTGTGTATCGTGAGGTCAGTTTTTGTTAGGTATTGTTTATATTTAATTTTAAGTTAAAGATTTAAAATGATTTTTGACCGTACGATATATGATAAATAGATATAGTTTGAAGATTTCTGGAATCCTTACAAAGAGGATCCAGCAAGTATCCTCGTTCATTTTCTCCTTCTGATTGTATATTAAATAACAAGTAACAGTATTGACCAAAAAAAAAAAAAGTAACGGGCTCTTTTTAGAGATAGTGGCCTCGTAAGGGTGGAGATTGAGTCGGATGCCCAAACTCTAATTAGAATGATTAAAAAGGAGGGTAAACCATTCAGTACTACGATTTGGTAGTATTCATCTTCACTTGAAAGTGAGAGGTTTTAGGTTCGAATCTCATGGATGATGAATTCAATACCAAATTAGACTGCCCATTGTGTGGTTTAGCCGAACTCACCCTTTCCTGTAATGTAAAATATCGATGTCCTCAAAAAAAAAAGAAAAGAAAAGAAAAAAAGAGGGTAATGTTGATGTGAACTTGGAATGTATTCTTTTTTATTTTAATCTTATTGCTTCACAAATTGACGATGTGAAGTTCTTGTTTGTTCAGCGGAGTGGTAATCTTGTTGCTCACTCGGTTGCTTCATTTGTTGCTTTGCATGGTGGCTTTTATTTATGGGACGCTATTGGTCTTGATTTCCTTTTTAATATTATTGTTGAAGATGTAAACATTGCTATTAAAAATTAATAAAGTTTATCCTTTGATGAAAAAAAAGAATGAAAGTTGCAAGCTTAGAGATTCCTCGAATTTGGTTTTCTTCATGCTAGGCGGATAGGTTTATTCCATTTTCATATATATATTCATTGGAGCAACATATTGCATGACAAAGTAAAGGAAGAATTACCCGTTTGAAAAAACTAAAACACATACTTGCATTGCGTAACGTAATCGACATTTGAAAAATCAATCTACGGCCCCACTCGTTTTTCATATACATGATTGGACTGGAATAGAGAATACGTTTCATGAAAGTAGTGCAAATTACAATTATTCATTTAACGAGTTTACAAGAACAAAACCTTATGCATTACTCGAGGCCAATGAATCAGCAACCGAGATCCGTCTGTGGCACCCCTTTGCACAACTTAACAGTGCGTCACCGGCTGCCAAGATACAATCATGACGGCTTCAACCGTCTACGAGACTACACCACCTCCGCAAACGCCACGAAAAGATTTGTGTTTGTATGTACTATCCCACTCTGTCAACACTATATACCTACATGGTTTATGTATGCGCCCAATGTCTAAGTTATGCGACACAATCTCAACGAGATACTGTTATTCTTTCACCCAAAACTGCACCCAATAGTCAGTCATATGCTAGTGATGATCTCCCAGACCTCTCGAAATCCATGACTTTACCGGGCTTTGATTTTACTGATGATCCCAAGGAGAAAGGCTTAGAGCATCCTGCATTTCATCTTCTAGATCGGTACTCATCAGTCATCTTGAACCACCAGACGGAAGCAGATAAATCTTCTACATCAGCAATCACAATCAACCAGACTGCCGTTTTGATCTTCTACGTTTCCCGAGAAGTTTGAGCATGTTGTCAGTGATGTCAGGGGGGGAGTTGTCTTCTTCATCACGATGGTTTTCTGAGGTGTGAGTCAACCAGGCCAGTGCTTCTATAGCAGCATCCCTTTCTGCAAGCTGCTTATTTTTCTTAGGTTTCCCGACAAATTGCATGCCCTTGAACTCCACCAGTGCTCTGAACTCGTTCGTCTTAAGGTGCTTTGTTTTGTATTTTGGAGGAGAATGTCCTGCTCTCATCAACAGAGTTTGAAGCAAACTCTTAGGATTGGTTCCGTCTTTAGTGAATCTACTGTTATCACCAGATTCCTTCGGCTTTCTGCTGTCACGACCAAATACAAATCTCCCTTCACATTGATCTCCGGAAACCAGCTCTTGAACAGCAAGCATCAGGTACTTCCCTTCCTTGTGGATATCAAGGCTAGGATCTTCAAGCTGCATCATTGCAAGGTTGACAAACGTAACGTTACAATACAGTGTACAAGACTGGTAACCACGTCAAAAGTTCCCCTCCTTCCTAATAAACCAGGATTTCGACCCCAGTACTAAAGACCGCAAGAAGAAAGTAGAATATTAAACAAACATAATCGGCTTCTGAAAAAAAAAAAAGGCCCAATAGATCACCTTCTTTTGAATAAGCTCATTAAGTTCTTCCTTAAGCTTCAAATAGCAGTCCACCAAACTAGGATCCATGAAGAAGTCGATATAACCATCCAACATTCTCAAATGCCCAGCCTAAGGATGGAATAAAAATAGAGGGAAAAATAAAATGAGGAGAGTACAGAATACAAGATCACAAAAGTCAATTCATATATTTGTATCAACTCAGCGTTGTACAATTGAATAATCACCTGGACCCCATGGTTCAACGCACCACCAAAAAGGATCAGGATCGAATCAGATACGCCAGTGGAATCACGTATGAATACAGTATTGACCCTTACTTTCTCACCAAAGACCAACCAGGGATAAGGAATTGTTTGGTAACGCACATTCACAGAATTCTGAAAGTAACACAAACTGATTAATTACGGGGAAACTCTTAATAACTTTTCAGATAAAAGTAAAAAGGGTTTAGGGTTTAGGTGAAGTTCTATAAATTCTGTTATCAAATTTCCAAATAAAAGTAAAAAGTGCACAATTCCTGTATTACATGTCGGTACGTACAAAGTATCCAGTATACCTATGACCATGTTTAAGCTAGAACCCTAGTACTCACATACCAACTGTGCAAATTCTTTTATATATTGTTAAGAGTTAATCCTCAGACTCAGAACCAATTGGGCACTGGAGAAGACTAGATTATCGTATATTGCAGTGTATGCTTGACATACCCGAGTATGACCTATATTCTTACATGTGGCTGAATTGTACACTTCGAAGCCATACCTTGTTGCAGGCATCAAAATTTGTGAATGGAAAAAAAAATTCATTCCAGGAAAGATTCAAGCCTTTCTAAAGGAATGTCTGAAATATTAATTATCGATAAAAAGTTGTTTTTCTCATAAAAGAATTAATTATATACAATAGGATTTTCATCAACTAGCCTAGATTTAATTCAACAAAGTGAAAATTTGGGCCTTACCCAACAGTTCCAATATATTTAGCAAACTATCAAGATCTTAATTTTGATTAGGCATTGGAACTTACAGCAAATAGTAGAACCTGGCCATCATCCATCGTTTTGAATGACATGGACGTCTCTCGGTGCTGCAGATATGTTAAAAGATACAAATGTAAAAGAAAATTTGAGATTTAAAGATTAGCCAGCAAAAGAATATTTTCAACTACAGATAACATACCACCACAGATGCTATTCCAGGGAAAAGTCCAGAACATATGATTGCACGAACCAAGGACTGGTTGTGACTTAGCTTGTTGTTAATGCTTGCATCCGCATCCACCAATCCAGCATCTCTTAAAATGTAGTTAAACTGCTTCCGAAGAGAATGGATAGCCTGAAGTGTTTGAGCAGAAAGGAAATTTCTCCAGCAATATTCATAAGCTGATCCTTCTCTTTCAGCATCTTTCCATCCTTCATATGCACGAACAAGAGCCATATGATCACTGTAATCTTTTGCAGAGAATCTAGATTTTGCTGTCCCTGCTAACTGTATGAAACAAAGTGAGAGAGAGAAAGATAGAGCACACAGTATGGAGTCATTTAGGTACAATGTGAAAGGGAGAGTACCAGACCAGCAAACTAGCATATTCAAATGGGAGTTCATTATTTGTGATAACTAATAATATTTGCGATAATAGCTCTGTAAACTAGACCTTATTTGCCCCTTTTTTTACAGTGTTACAGAGCGGATTGGCCAAAATAAGAATTACATTTTCATTTGTATTCAATATGGACTGAATTAGAATATTACATTCCTTTACCAGTTAATTCAACCATCTTTTTTTAAGCATCTATGTGTGCATTTATTTATGAATTTTGGTTAAAATTTAACATGCATCACACTACTTTGTATGGAAGTATTTTATAGAACTACAATTTTAGGTCACCGTATCTGGTTTGAACACCACTCTCGTCATATGGGTATGTACTAAACTACTGTAACTATGTTAAATTTACATCGGTCCATACGAGGAAGTGTGGATTTCAACAGAATAGATACCAAATTTTTGTGGAAGTTTGTTAACTCAAATTTGGTCCTAAATGTGTTTTGGGTTTTTGCTTTCTTAGACCCCAGTTTTTAAATTGAGTAAGAATCTAAAGTACATGAATAACATTAGTAGATGGTAGATTTTCAGACTTAAGTATATAGAACATGGTTATTGAGCTTTTTGAATATGGTCCTATATGCTTTGGTCGCAAGAATTTTACTTTAAACAATGTTCTATGGGTCACAGAACCAGAACAAATACAGATTTTATGCAGCACAAGTGTGTGAATATTTGCTTCACCCTTACCCAAGTTCTATTGGCTTTAGACTAATTTTAGTGTGGTGTGAGAAACAAACATAAGGACATATTTTTCTCGTGCTGTTAGGATGTGCTTTCGGATGAATGTAAGAATCCCCACACAATTCGTTTTTTTAACTTGCAGCTAACAAGTCCATTTGGTTGCATCAAAAGCACATAATATAAGATTGATTACACCAGAAGTGCATGATACAAGACTGATTGAATGAGAGGTACATAAAAAAAGGTTGACAGTATCAGAGGTACATAACATATCTGCAGAGCCGAGAATCAATTTTGATGCACTAACAGACTACTTACTGAATTTTGTACTTACATCTTTTTTGTCTTGAGGCAAAAGGAAAGGATCCCTGACACTTAGACCAGACACTATTGTAAGAACAGGATCAAAGCAATGAAACACAGCACCCATAATCAGCATTTTCCCTAGTTTGGGATCCACTGGAAGTATTGACAAATATTTTCCTGATCAAAGAACAAAAAAGAAAGAAGAAAGCAAAGAAGTCTCAGTAAATAAGGGAATTCAGTTACAACTTACGTAGCGCAAGTTTCATTCAGGAAACAAACTAACCGAGACTTGTCAAATTTTCATTCTCATCTAATGCCCCAATTGAAGTAAGAAAACCAATGGCATTTTGGACCTGTCATATATTGACATTGTCAACTTGTGTAATTAACAAAAGTAATTTATGAAATAAAATAAGAAAGCTACTAAATTCAGACACCAGTAAGGCAGTAACAAAATGAAAATGAGCAGGCCAATATGATCTTTAAAAATACAAAACTCTTTTTCTTTAACTCGATCGAAACTACTTAATGTGAGGAAGGTGTGAAAGAGAAATAAAAACTGATTAAATTTGGGAAAGGTAAAATTCTGAGCTGCTTATCGAGATCCAAGTTCCAACTGACGAATACATAATTATAGGACATAGCAAATATATAGGACAGATATCAAACAGTATAGAATATTCATTGAGCAGCAACACTTACAGCTAGGGGTTCCGGTGGCTGCAAGGCAGCTGACAAGAATTCCCCTATACTAGCAACCTGCAAACTTTTAATTTGCAAGCAAAGAGAGTTCAAAGGAGTTCTGAGCAGTTCAGGAAGTTGATATTCAGCAAAAGCGTGATAAACACATTTGGGGTAAAGGTGGTAACATTCGCCTGGCAGCACCCGGCCAGCCCTACCCCTTCTCTGCAACCAAGTATAATCCAACAAGGCACAAAAATCCCTTTGCGTATTAGATGCACAGATATCAAGAAGAAAATTATTTACAAACAAAGATGAAAGAGAAAGCAAAACAAGATGCCAATGGCATCCTGAAACAAAGATATAAGTGCAATACTTGCAAGCAAACACCACCTCCTCCTAAATGAATAAGCATGTCAATTGACTTCATACACACTTCATACATGTGCACAGGCAATGACCAAATTCAATTTTAAACTTTATGTTAGCAGCTCTGACTTTAATGAGCCAGCAGCACCAAATAGAGGAATAAAGTGGGAAAACCTCATTGAATTATGAAGCAACATAATCTAGTTCCAAATACATAGAGAAGCTGCTTAGTGAAGTGAATAAGGTCCAAAAAGACTTACTTGCCGAGCAGATGCTTGCGATATCCAAGAAGGTAGCAGACAAGGTGTATTATTCAAAGCATCATACGAGGTCTCTTTTGCTTTTCCACAATCCACCACAAAAACTACATCATTGATTGTAATGCTTGCTTCTGCCATATTTGTTGCAAGGACTATTTTACGAATGTTAGGAGGTGGTCTTCCAAATATGAGTTTCTGGGGAGGAGGTGATAAGCAGTAAATATATTAGGTTAGTTAAAATAAATACAATAACAAGACAACAAAGCCTTATCCCACTAAGTGGGGAGGTTAGTTAATATAAATAATGGAATAAAATTTCAAACAAGCTAAGGTACATACTAGAGATGACATATTTTAGGCAATATCCAAAAGTTACGAGGCCATGTTTATAACAGACTATATAAATTAAAAAGACCTTATACTACTAACTGAATAGCTGGCAAGCGAAACAATAACCTACTAGACAAATTATTCAAGTTTGTTGGTTTACCACTATTGTAAAAGCCACTAGAATGTGGGTCAATCATTATTTTACATTCTAAGATTCTGCATATGGGCCTCGTTCTTCGCCACTAGAGACCAACACATGGAATTTAATTCATAAGGGGGGTTTTCAATTTCAAGAATTCGAACTTAAGATCTCAAATTTAACATTATCATAAGGTTGGAACCTTGGAGTTTCCAACACAAAACCACTTGATTATAGGCGGTGATAACCATGATCTTATGTACTGAGAACATCCTATATGAGATATTTAAATCCTCAATAGACTGCCTCATGTGTGGCTAAATTCAGCCAAATCCCCACATTAACAATATTGGGTGACGTCAAGCAGGCGTCACCAAATAAGGCCTGAAGTGAGAATAAATTGCTAGTGCGTACATTACCATAATATTTAGGATATGTGTTACAATGATTTTATAACCTTCTTATCCTAAAACAAACAAACAACAAGCTTCCCGCTCAACAATCATCATGGCAAACCTCTTTGTTAGTGACTACTACAAGTAACCAGTACTATATACCTTATCAGTGACTAAATTTTGAATGGGGAATTCTTCAGAGTGACTAAAAGCTATAGCCTTCTACACTAACTCATGAGCATACATGTACACCTAACAACCCATAATATCCGCAATTAATATGCAACCATGTGAGAAGATACTTCCATTTTGATTGATTCCATCGAGCGGCAAATTTAATAACAAGAAGAAAAAAGAAATCATAACACAAAAGTCAAAAAGACCAAATATTTTGAAGAATATCAAAAGCTGTTCATATGCCCAAGACTCCAGATTTGCGTGGTCCTTTACACCAAGTAAAGACTAAGAATTTTCAAGTGAAGCAATCCTGTTAGACTGATATATAGAATATAGTTGCCTTACTTAGGGACAATAATGGCCTTCAAACACAATATCAAATGCTTCATGAGTTATGCTGATGCAACTCCCAATGCGGAAGAGCAGATATAGAAATAAACTAACCTGTTCAGATGTTCCCATTGACCCATGGCATGTTAGAAGCAAAACCCTGTTAGGATCACCTAAAAGTGGATGTGCTTTAAGTTGATCCCTCAAAGAGCTTATATCCTCCCACCCAGTCATGAATACTAAAACAGCACCTTGTCGTTCCTTCCGACATATATGACATAAAACTGCCTCAATTAAATTAAATCCAATGCAATCAGGTGTCCAACATGATAGTGAATCACGTGCCCTGGCACTGTAACTCTCAAAGCTTGATTTATTAAGAGCATCCTGTGTAAAGGTAGCACGATAGGTAAGTCCACACCAGCTTCATACATAACTTCAAATTACACATGCAGCTCTTTGTTTCCTCATTAATAACTCATTATATTGCGAAGCCAAACAATGGATAGAAATAATGGAAGCACTTTAGTTTGTTTTTATTTTACTGTTAGCCAATTTATAGAACAGCTTAAAATAGAAGATTTAGTTGATAATGAAAGTTTATGAACAATTAAGTTTTAGAAAATTATCCTTAATGAATGAGCAGTGTGTGCCGTTTTTTCTAGCAAGCATAATCAGGAACCATGATAAAATAGATTATGAAGATAAATAGCACTATTTCATTATTAATGACTACTTTCAATAATATGCAGTCCTCTGATGGACTCCCTACACCTCCACAAAAACCCACTTTCTTAGCATTCATATGAGAATACGTGTTTTATCTGATACGAAACATATAATATTTAAAATAAATACACACACACACACACACACACACACATGTGTGTGTGTATATATATATATATATATATAAGGATCCATGGCACTACACTGTACTTTTAGACACAAGTTTTAAACCGTTAGATTGGCCCACAATCAATGGTTAAGATTTACTCTGATAGCTAATTAATTATCATTATTAATTTCCATACGAAATTAATATTACTTTTTAATTTATATACAAATAACAATTAAATGCACAGTAATCAATCAAGCCTCGTATGGTGGAAATTTCAAAGGTTAATCAGGTTAGAAAACTCTTAATGGCTCTCCATCTCCAGTTTTTGTTCACCATTGCAGGCCAAGGAAGAGCATGCTCTCCCCCATGCAAGCACTCCTTCATATTGGAATTTTGAGTTGTTCCGTTTCTTTTCCTTTTCCACATTGAGAAAGAACCTAAATTTGATTTTATTTAAAAAAATTGATTATCTTCCTAATCCAATAGATTCATTGCTCTTCTTTAGTTTTAATCTAGGTAATTTTGAAACTAATAGGGTTCCTCTTTTTCAACACGATTATCAAGAAACAAAATTGTACTATCAACCAATGCTATTTTTAACCTTCGTTGTTACTTATCTCTGGGATTCAGAGAGTTCTGCAATGATTTGCGTAAGAATTCATATTTGGCATTGTTTAGCAGAAGCAAAAAATTATCTCACATAAAACATAAGAAACCAAGATGGTGAGGCGATAGAGAAGAGAGATGGAAGTTTTTTTTTAATTTTTCGTCAGCACTGAATGAAGTGTGAACTTAAAGCTGGGGTCAACTTTCAATAACGAAAATAGAGAACAGAACAGGTTGTTGGTGAAGACGAAGAGAAAAGAAAAAGAAAAAAAAATGTAAAGTTAATAGGATTAAGAGAGAGAATCAGATTCATAATTAAAAAATGTGTGTGTGTGTGTGTGTGTGTGTGTATAGGCAGAAGAGAACTACAGAGACCCAAATATTTAAAGAAAACAATACGCTCAACTCAAGTCATAGTTCCCCTAATAACAATGAAATAAACTAAAGAGAATGTCCCTGAAATGCTTACGCAAAATGCCGTGTATTAATGCCAAAAAACTGCTCTTCTCCCTTAGAAAACCCACCCTCTCCCCTTTTTCAAATATTTTGTCCCTCTCCATCTAGACAAAAAGGACATAATGAAGCCAAACATTTGCTGCATCCTAAGCCTAAAATTTGATAAGTGATTGGCACGCTAAAGATTAGATACATGATGTCTTCTCTAGGAACCACAAGTTCGAAAAATATTAGGATGGAAGGGGCAAGGGAGTGAAATGTTTTCTGAACTCTATGCTACGATTGGCAGTATTCCTACTTCCTTTCGAACTAGGTGCGAAAAATTTTGTTAGATAACCATAAAATCCAAAAACTTAAGCTGTCAGGGAATGGGCCAACAATGAATATCAAGAATGCATTATCCCTAACATACAGTCCCATTCTTCCCATATAGGTTTATCCCCACCCTGCTCCTTGTAATGTCGTTGGGTAGTGTGTGGCCATTGTTAGACCTTTATATAAATGATGCAAATCTGTCATTTTTGGGCAATGAAGACGAGATTTTACAAGAACTTCTAACAATCCCAATGGGAATCACCCTACGAAAACTTTGTTTCAATTTCATGAAATCCATTTCAAACTAACATAATACCTCAACCAGAGCAGTAATCTGGTTTTTCCTTTTTCGAGGCACTAACTGCTTCTGTGTTTTCCACAGTTTGTCTTGGCCATAATCATCAATTTGGTTGAAGGAAGTCAACTTATACCCAGTCATTTCCAGTACATCTTCTAAAAAGTGTGCTCTTACTGGATATGTAAAGCCCTGCATAACATAAAAATGCATTAAAATTCATATGGGAGAAAGACTAACACTAGAGGTTCTTGACAATGCTTGACCAGAGTACGAGGAATAGAATTACAAGGGCAGCCTGTGGTACATAAAAATGCACTGAAATAAATATGCATTTGTTAATACATTAATGTTGCATCAGCAACAGTCCACGTTTAGTAATCTCTATTTTTGTTCACTTGCAGCAGAACCTGGAAAATTCATGAGATTTTTCTGATGCAGTTTATCACACATTTCCGGTTACTAAGCATACTTATGTTTACAATCACCAGTGCAGACATGAACAACAGCTCTCTCTATACAGCTAACACTACCTACATAAACAATGCAATTAAGATACTACAAATCAATATGTACCCTGAACAAACTCAGTATTTAGCTAACCGGAATATGAATTGTAGGAGCTCCTCCAAAATAACTTGAAAACAGCTCAGCATTCAGAGTAGCACTCATTAAAACCAATCTCAAATCCCGACGGCGTGGAAGCAGATCCTTCAGCACAATCAATAAGAAATCTGCAAAATACAATTATAGAAGAGAAAGAGAAAGGGGTGGGGGGAATTCAGCTAGGCTGCTTTTTCTGCACTATAAGACATTAAAATGGATATTTATGGAAGTGTACCTTCATTCATGCCTCGCTCATGAATTTCATCAACAAAAACATGGGTTATACCATTCAAGTTACGATCACTCAACAGACGGCGAAGTAAAATACCACTTGTACAAAAAAGCAGATGGGTATTTTTTCCCTTCATTCCCTCCAATCGAACTTTATAGCCAACCTAGCAAAAAACTCTCTTGTGATATAGCCGCAGAATAATGAAGCTTTCAATCTAAAATATACATCTTTTTCTTTCTTCAAAGTAAATTAATTCGCAAGGTATGTGCGTGCACATCTATGATCTATATCTATGGCTTGAGGGAGACAAGACTCACTGTTTCACCAAGAGGCTCTCCCCTCTCTGCCGACACTCTTTCTGCAACAGCCATAGCAGATATTCTTCGAGGCTGTGTGCAAATGATGCTACAGAATGCTCCACGGCCAGATTCTATTTCTGACTCTAGGATATATTGAGGAAGTTGAGTGGTCTTACCACATCCAGTCTCCCCAGATATCACTATTACCTATCATCAAAACAGCTTATTTAGAATTCTGCTGGAGGTAAAATGTAAAACACAGTACAGAAGAAGTAATTTCATCAGTTGTTAGGAAGATATCAAAGAAGCAACTACTTTTTACAGCCAAAGTATTACTGATCACAAGATTCAGAGTATAATCTACTGTACCCAATAAAAGCACAAACTCCTACATGCTCCCCAACACCCCCCCCCCCCCCAATAAAAAAAAAAAAAGGGTGTATCGTTTTTTTATCCCACTTACATCAAGTAGAAACAGAAGCAGATTCATTTAGAAAATGATATCAATTGGAAACATAATATCTATGTCGTGCACTAAATACAGAGTCTGGAATCGTTGATGCTATGTACTATGTAAGTTTTTAGGCCCTGAAAACAGTTACCACTCTTTGCAAACAACATAAAGAAGAAATGTTAAGTGTTATTTTGTTTAGAGTTTTTCTATCTAAACAGCATGCATATCTTCGTTCACACACATTTTTATCTACACCGCATCTTTAAATTAAACTCTCACTCACTCTAAAGAACACCCACACTTTACCCACATCACCATCTCTCTCTTTCACTTCCATCAAGTACCCATCAACTCTCTTTCTTTCATTGCCATCAACTTTCTTCCTAATACAAACACATGCACAGACTGCCAATTCCGAGCTTATTGTTCCAATTCAATTTATTCCAATTCATATTTTTGTGCTTGGCAATTTGAACATCTGAGTTGTCGTTCATGGCTACCTCCCAAAAGTTGTAACTAGATTTGAGCATTGGGGTCACGTCCATGAGTCGTCCTCCAATTGAGTTTGTAGAATGAATTTAAATGGGATTGGAGCAATCCCAGCTGCTTGTGTGGTTTTAGAACCTTGGTCATGGCTACGTCCCCAACACAGAATACATGTTTGTGGTTTCTAGAGAGAGAGCCTTTCCAAGGCCGTGAAAGACAGATAAAACCTTATTCAACGTATTATGTATCATTTATTGTGTTTTCATGCTAGGAAAGAATTCCAAAAATAAAATTATAGTTTAATTACAGGTTGAACTCAGATGAGAGTGGAGTTTAGCAGAAAAAACACTTTGTTTATAAATTTTTGTATCTTTTGAGCTTCAACGAGTTCAAGAAATAAAGAAGCAAGAACAACAACAAATGGATAGAAGAAATGAAGCGATATGTCCTATAACTAAACCTGATTCTGTGCAATTGCTTGCAGCAACCTTTCATTCTCCTTGAAAGCCGGTAGTGATTTGCGGAAGTCTAGCATCTTCTTGCCTTCGGGTGATTCCTTTAAATAAAAAAAGAAACATTGGAAAAGAGACCAAAACCCTTAGCATGGTATTGCAGGTAATTTATTAGGATATGTTGCCCCAATAAGTGTGCATTAGAAACACATGGTACAGATGAAAGCCAAATGTATCCTACCTGCCAAGCTCTTTGCATATTACGCATTCGCAAACTCCTCCTTTGAAGAACCTTCTCCATTACAGACCCATCTAGAAAAGAATCTGCATTCTCATCCAGGTTTGCATTTTCGACCTGACCAATGTGCTCAGAGTCCCCTCTATTTCCAGTGAACTTCCCAGAGTTTAACTGAAGTCGATCAAGGTGCTCTTGCAGCAAACCCTCTACCCTCCTTTGCAAGCCAAGAGGGATAACCACCTGCCCAGATGAATGATGACATCATCAAACTCTCCCCCATAAAACCACTCTCAACATGTATACAAATCTTTCATGGTTGGAAAAGAATTGGCGAGACAAGAAGATGACATTACCTCTCTTTGTGGCCGCTTATCATCCAAATCAGGCCTGTAGTTTGGAAGAGGGCCCTTGCTGGCCACCACCGCTTTCCCATATATTTCACTAAGAGTAAGAAGAGTTGAATGAGCAATTTGATGTATCAGTGATAGATTAGCGAATAACAAAGGCAAAGATGGTCCCTTTGTTAGTCTTACCAATAAAGTCCCATCCTTTTGGCAAGGTTAGATATCTGCTCATAGTCTCTCCTATCTCTCTTATCTCTGGATACAATCTCTTGGTCCTTTTCGCTGCGTAATAGCAAGCTCATTTTCCATTTCCACTCGTCAATGTTCGCCACTGAAGACGATGCCTACACTCAAGTGTCAGCCACATGTTCTTCATTTCTAAATGTAGCTAAAGTAAGCACACAATTGCAATCCCAGACTTTCCACACATTTTCTCGGCAGCCAAACAGAGGATAATGAAAATAACAAGAGAAAAGAACAAATTGAAATTCAGAAGAAAGTAACCTTTTGGCCTTCGAATTCGCACGCGTACTCATCGTCGGAGAACTGCTCGGCGGCGTACCCGCAAAAGGCGCGCTTTGAAATGAGGAATCGGGCTCCGCCGTCGGAAATTGAAGAAGAAGAGTGGGGTTGGAGTAGAAGAAGCAAAGTGCGGCAGCGACCGTTTGTCTTGCGGGAAGAAGGAAAACAACAAGGGTTATTGTTGGAGACTGACTTGAGAAGGAGACCAAGTGCTGCTCTCGAATTACGCATCAATTCTCACCTTCTTTGCATCAATCAATCTCAAACTCTGGAAATAATGCAAAATTTTCAGCAAATCCTTAATTAATTAATCAATCAAAAAATCAATCCCCAATTTATCTATCGAAATCAAAAGCAGAGGAAGAACAAAAGAAGCAACCTGGAAAGATGAGAAATGTAGAGACTGGAGAGTAGCGATGGAGGAGCGAGAGGGACGAGTCGCAGAGACGGACGGAGCACGAGGGAGGAGTCGGGGACTGAGAGAGCACGTGACGTTTTACGTACAACTTTCGGCAGACCTGATTATTTTTGTATTTTTTTATTTTTAACAAAGGTAAATTTCATTACCAACAAACATAAAAATATAATTACATAAAAGAAGCCCAAATACAAGATAAGCACACACAAAATTGACCCCAAAACCAAAAGTACCACAAAAAGAGCCTAAGACAGAAAAACAAAAACACTTCATAGAAGCCTGCATCCTACGCTGCAGCCAAGATATCGCAAACCACGACCCCAACAACTGCCTGTAATCAAGCAGATCACAACCCCAGCAGTGGAAGAACAGAAGACTCAATCATCCTCCAAAGATCACCCTTAGAAATTTCAACCACCAATTGAAGGACCAAACTATAGAAGCCCGCAGAAAGAAGCAACCCGCAAACAACAGTGCCAACAAGGGGGCACACTGATGGAAAGAGTTGGTGCCAACACCCGAGCTAGAGCTATATGAACCTTACAAGAGAATTGCTAAAGCAATATACATTAATTCATTCATATGTAGTTTAATTGCTTGATTGATTATGATCTCTAGATGATGTTAATAAATGTTCTATATGTGGTATTAGAGCCACCAAATTAAGCATTAAACTTGTCTGAAATTTATTGGAGTTCTATATGCATTTCCGCTGCATCCAACTTTGTTCATATTTTTATTTAAAATCTACGTATGTACTGGGATTTATATGTTTTAATATGCTTATGTTCTGGGAGTCTTAGGTTGTAAATATGCCCTTGTTCTCTTCATTAGTTTGCTTCAATAACATGCATGAATGAATGGGCATATAGTAGAATTGGTAACTGCAAAATGCAAAGTCAAATTTCGAACTTCATAACTTAAATTGAGGTTTTACAGGCCTAAACAGTCTCGAATGGCCAAAATCCATCGTTTTGCCGTGTGTTTGAATCGCATCGTCATTCTCTTTTCGGAAAGGTATAATGGACCAAAATTAGAGCTCGAACAATCTGTCCAATTATCGCTGGGTCATTTCTTTACTGATTTCTTGTTGATTCCATGCAATCATAAGATGTTTAAATGAATCACCAAAGTGTTTTATTTGTTCTTTGGCTCATATGATTTCAATAAAGATGATTAGTTTCCAAAGAATCAATCTATCGGTTCCATTTTAAATCATTGTATTGTGAGTTATAAAAACATGTAATGCATGTGTATCTTCTTGCCTAAAGGTGTAGTATTTACAGTGTTACATAAGTTTGTACTTAGCTATACAAGATTTGAAAACTAATGTTACTATATAGACAATTTCTTGCCTAAAGGTATAACTGGTTCTATAGTTTTTGAATGGCATAATGTCACTAACTAATGAATTTCTAACCATTTTGAATCAATAATGCAACTTTCAAAGCGTTGAGTCTTATCAACATAGAGAAATTGAATGGAAAAAAATTTTCAAAGCTTGGAAGTAGAAGATTGAAATGCATTTAGGGATGTTGAAGTTTGACATTGCTTTCAAGTTGCCTCAATCAACTGCACTCATTGAAGAAAGCACACCACTACAAAAGGATATTTTGCAAAGTGGGAAAGAGCTAATCAAATGTCCATTCTTACTAATCCAAAATGCCCTGGAAGATCACATAAAGGGAGGGATTTCTATTTACGATTTGGCTAAAGCGTAAATGGTAAAGGTCGAACAAAAGTTCGACCAGTTTGCCAAGGCTGAAATTGGAGTGTATCTCTCAAAATTCATCAATGCCAAGTATGATGGAGTTGGAAGGTAAGGGAGTAGCTGCTTAAGCTTGTTAATCTTTCCAACAAGCTTAATGCCATGGACATACGAATCAATGATCAATTCTTAGTTCATATGACATTGTTCTCACTGTCGAATGATTATGAGCAGATCAAAGTGAGTTACAACATTCAAAAGGTGACATGGGGTATAAATGAATTGATTTTCATTTGCTACCAAGATGAAGGAATGATAAAGAAGGCTACACATGATGTTGTTAATCTTGTGGACGTTTGGGAAAGGGAAAGGAAAAATGACTACAAGCTACAATAGTTCCAACTACAAAAACTCCAAGCCAACTACACAGAAATCAGGTTTTTCTTTTCCTACAAAGAAAATTGTTAAACCTTGCAATGCTTTTGTAAAAAATGAAGGAACCTCCAATATTGGTCTTAAAACAAATAAGTTCAACTTCAAGAAATGTCATCATTGTCAATTTATTGAGCATTCAAGAAAGAATTGTCCAGGTTTTAAAGCATGGCTCATTAAGAAAAGTAACAAAATCACCAATGTTTTTGTCAATGTCGAGTTTAATATGGGTTTTGTTTCTCAAAATTCTTGGTGGTTTGACACTGGATGTTCTGTCCATATTACAAATTCTTTCCAAGGATTTCAAAGTTTGAAGGAAATAAGTAAGGAAATCTACAATGTTTAAATTGGAAATGGAATGGTGATTGAATCCATTGGTCGTGTTATGTTGAGATTGTTTACTAGTTATGTTTTAGTTTTAAACAATATTCTTTATGTACCTTCCATGAGAAGTAATTTATTTTTAGCCACTCAGTTTGTGAAAGATGATTTTTCTTATGTTGCTATGACAATCAAATTCAATTTTTATTTAAAAATCAGTTTGATAATCTTCTTGGCTATGCATATCTCAATGGTGATCTTTGGCAAATTCAGTGCACTTACTTTCTTGAATGTCTTAATGTTGAACATTTTGCATCAAAAAGGTTGCTCAATAATGAAACTTTTTTCATGCTTTGGCATAGAAGACTTGAGCACATTTCGAAAGAAAGAATGCTAAGATTAATGAAGGATGGTGTTTTGCCAAAACTTGAACTTAATGAACTTAAGAATTGCGTAGACTGTTATAAAGGTAAAACAATTTAACTAAGAAGTCGAAAGCTAACAGAAGTAGTGAGCTCTTAGAGATCATCCACACTAATGCGTGTAGACCATTTCCAACCAGAGCTATATATGGACATTCTTATATAGTTGACATGATAGGATGTCCTTCTAGGGTTATGATACTTATGTTACCATAGCCACTGGAGATAGGAATATGATTTTGTGGAGTAGTCTTGCTGGAGTTTTCCAAAGCCTTCATTCGTTTCTCGATGTCCACGAAGTTTGCGTGATTCTCCGCGAAGAAACAATGTATGCTTTCTGCAACTCATCAATAGAAACATGATCTTTAACAAGTCTCCCAAACTTGTTCCATAGTATGAGAGGATTTAGCGATTGGAATCTCATCGCTCCCTGAGGTGGTTACAGCATCAGGGTTTTGTTGCTTGCCTCTAGAGTGGTGGTGGCGTCTGGAATAGGGTTATTCCCAATGGGTGCACTAGAGGCACCCAAGGTTAAACAGTCTTATGCCACCATGTTAACATTGACGTTAACAGAGCTTTTTTCTACATTCATGTTTATGGAAGAATGATTTGGTTAAGAAGAGTATGAGTTTACGCTGAATGAAAGCATTAGTTGTTGGAGCCAAATTTGTGCACCGTCGTAGGAGGTGGAGATCCACAAATCTAAGTAATCTGTAAAAGAACAAACAATCGTGAGTCAGCCAAAGACCGGAATGGGTGTGCTGGTCAAAGGTTCTCCGACGGGTGAGTAAGTAATATAAGACTTAAGTAGTGGGCAAGAGAATAAGTATGTGGGAATTACGTTACCAGAGATGATTACTTACGATGCACGCCAATTCTTAGGTTGTAAGGACTTCAATATTATAGGAAACATACTGATTCCTTATTGGATTAGGTTTCTGTATCTTGTGAAACAAGAATGGTCAATCTCAGCGAAGTCGTTGGACTTAGCCCACCGGTTCTGGAATAGTTGCTGGCGTTGTTGCTCTTTTTATTTAGCTCCGCAACTGAGACTGTTGAGTTCATAACCGGACTTCTGAAATATTTGTATTCTAATTCACCTTACTTTGGCCTTGGAAAATCACGGTCCCACAAATTTCCTTGTTGATTTGGTAGACCAAGCATGCTAAAAACCCAATTAAGTGAGCACTTAACCGACCTTAGTAAATAGGTCCTAATTTTGTACAATTCATTCGCTTTGTGTTTCGGAGACCCAAAAAATATTTGTAGATGCCGAGCATCCAATATGTCGAGTGCTTAAGACTCCAAGAATGATGGTCGAGAAGAACAAAATTATGAGCAGTCAGTCGGTGGCAATAACATTTACTACAAGGATTTGCCCGACATGGCTGAGGCGCTTGGTGACGAGCTGTCAGTCAATTTGGGTTGGGATATAATTCATTGTCCCACCACCCAACCACCAATAATAGATCTAGAGAATTCGTCTTCATCAGTGACTTAAGAAGAAGAATCTACCTCTAGCTACCGAGATGAGAACTTAAAGCATGATGCGGATTGAAAAGGTCCGAGTGGGGATTGGGGATAAGGACCCACTTGACACTTTTGACTACCTGGGGTCTTCGATTCCTTAGGTTGACATGCTGGACTTGGGCGACAAGGGAAACCCCATCTTTGTGAGTTCTAAAATGGAATATGGGGACCCATCATGCCTCTGTTCGACCTTTACTACTATGACACTAGAATCATAGTGTTGGCCATACTGTCAAGGCTATAACCTAGCCAAGACTAGATGAATTGAAAAGGCGATATTGCATCCCTAGTGATATCGTTCTCTGAGCGCTAGTTCTAGAAGACATGCGAAGCTGATCGTTGTGCACGTGGTCATGCTTTTTTGTCGAGCTCTTTAAGTCGAGTACGAGACTATTCTTAAACCTTTTACTTCATCGGGTCTTCGCCCAAGTTGGTATGGCTCCCTACCAACTTAATCCCAACATAATTTACTTTTTCCTTAGCATGTATATGTCTTGGATAGAGCACCACTTGATGAAGTACACCTTAACCTGATCAAGCACTGTTATAAGTTGAGAAATAGCTCTAGTTAAGTTGGGTTGTACCATATACTCGGGTCGTGTTTATTGTTCACCAAAAATTCTTCCAATTAGAAGCCTTACAAGGAGAATTAGTTCTTTGTAGAGGGTAATTGGGAGAGCTTGTTTGAGGTTGATGCCA